CCCGGGTGCAGACCCAACATGAGTGCCTGTATCAGGAATGAACCTGACTTCAAGTTACACCAGCCTCTTTCTGTTGCTCCTCACACATGCTGTGCGGGGCCCGGTTGGCGGGCGCAGGGGCCGCCTCCGCACGTCGCTCAAAGGGCGCCAGCTCCAGAGCTGGGCCTAGCGCGGGGAGTCCGTCTGGGGCCTTCAGCGTGCGCAAGCCCATGAGGGTGCCGAAGGCGAAGAGCAGCACCAGGAACAGCGCGATGCAGGCGCGGCGCCGCCGCCGGGCCATAGCCTCCCCTGCGCCCCCGGCCCGGCCCCGCTATCTCCCGGCCCGCCGCCCCATGGCTGCCCGCCCGCCCGGCTCCGGGGCACCGGCGTCGCCCGCGCGAGTCCCAGGGAGACGGCGACGCCCAGCGGCGACCTGCGTGGGCGGCTCCCGCCTCTCCGCTCTGTACACAGAGCCTGCGGCGGCGCAGACCGAGAAGGCGGGGGCTGGGGGCGGGGCCACAGACCTCGGGATGGGGAGGCCTGGGCGGGGATGGGGAGGCCCAGAGGCACCGGGGGGTGGGGAAGAAAACGTAGGTCTGTCCCTAGCCACCCCATTCTGCCCTACTCCCTGCCCTCGGGTCCCTCTCACCTACCCAACACACCCACACCCCCCCATCCTCTGCACCGGGGAGAGAAGCACCGCGCGAACCAATGGGCCTTGGGGGAGCAAAGAGGCCGGAACTCAGGCGAGGTCTCACTGAGCCCCTGAACGCGGAGATCCCTAAAGCAAACACCTTGAATCTCGTTGGTTTTGTCTGGTTTAGACTACTCATCTCAAATTGCTGAGCATGGGCATGGAATTACCATAAATAGATTAGATTAAATTCTTTGAGTGGATTAAGTGTTGGAAAGAATACCATAATGTCTACCAAGGGATGAGATAACTCTTCCAGGAATGAGTAAAAGCGAGAAGAGAAAAGGATAAGGATGGAATTTTCAGGAACACCAGCACTTAGGGGTTCAGCAGCAGCAGCAGAAGAGAGCCTATGAGGCTGTCAAAGGATATATATATATTTGTACTGAGGATTAAACCCAGGGTGCACTACCACTGAGCTACTTCCCAAGCTATTTTTTATGTTATTAATTTTGAATTTGTGATCCTCCTGCTTCAGCCTCCCTGTAACTGAGATTACATGTATGCACCTGACTAAAAGGGTTTTTTTGTTTATTTGTTTTGTTTTATTTTTCTGGTACTAAGGATTAAACCCAGGGCCTTCACACAAAGATATATCCCCCAGACCTTTGTTTTTACTTTGTGAGACAGGATCTCATTAAGTCACTAAATTACCCAGGCTAGGCTCAAATTTGCTATCTTTTGCTTCAGCCTCCCTGGGCTACATTACCAGCCTTTAATTTTTTTTCTTTTTTTAAATTTTGAGATAGCATGTCCCTAAATCACTCAATTGCCCATGTTGGACCGGAATTTTCTTTTTCTTTTTCTTTTTCTTTTTTTTTTGGTACTGGGGATCGAACTCGGGTTCCTGTGCTTTCGAGGCAGGCACCAGAACCACTGAGCTAAATCCCCAGCTGGACTGGAATTTTCAGTCCTCCTGCTTCAGCTCCCCACAGTGCTGGGATTATAGGCCTGCACAATCACATCTGTTCCAGTGGTTTACCTTTAGAGGGAATTAAATCTAACCCCTTGTACCAGACAGAAAAATATCAAAGGATTGTAATTGATAATCCTTGGGCCCGATCTTTGATTGGTATACTGGAGATAGGATGTTGTCACAGACTCTTTAATCCAGGGAACTCACTATGTAGCCCAGGCTGGCCTTGAACTAACTGTGAGCCTGAGTACTGGAATTACAGGCACGCACCACCACACCCAGCTGAAGCTACTCTTTCATTGTAAGCAAGATGAACTAATGGAACTAACTTTAGGAATCGCCTATCAATCTCAAGCAGAAATTGAAAGAAAGACAGGGTACCATGAAGTCACTTAGAAGCTAATTCCAAGGGCTGGGGATTTAGCGCAGTGGTTTCACTGCCTGCACAAGGACCCGAGTTCGATCCCCGGTACCAAAAAAAAAAAAAAAAAAGAGGGTAATTCCAGGATGCAAGGGTGAGGGACTGAGGAGAATAAGACAGGGGAAAGAAAAGCTAAATAGTGGTTCTAGTGTGATCCCCGGTACAAAAAAAAAAAAAAAAAAGAGGGTAATTCCAGGATGCAAGGGTGAGGGACTGAGGAGAATAAGACAGGGGAAAGAAAAGCTAAATTAATGGCACATTATGGACATTGCTGCTATAGATAATGGGGTCTTGATTCCACCAGGATTTCTAAAATTTAAATTTATTTAACTGGTACATAAAAATTATATATATATATATATATATATATATATATATAGTACTGTGTGATGTTTTGACACACATACATTGTGTAATGCTTAAGTCAGGTAAACCATGCCTATGTACCTGCTCGAAGTACATAATAGTTATATTCATTGTAGGGGAGTTGGTACGGATACATAACACATCTTAATTCTTTTTACTTTCCCTTCTCCTTCTCTGCCTCTTTCCTTCCTCCATCTTACAATCATTTTAGAGATTAAGATAAACTTCCAGAAGCTCTCATCAGATTACTTCCATTCTCAATGGCCAAGTTGTGCCATATGCTCTTGTGTAAGCCAATCCATTGCCAAGGCCATTCAGAGAATGATGGATAAAATCAGATGGAAGGGCGGAGGTGGGCGTAGGATAAGCAATCAAGAGTGTCTCCCACATCTTCCCAGAGTGTCTTCTCCTCTGTCAGATGTCTTCACCTTCCTCATAGGACTAGAGCTGTGTTGAGAGAGCCACCTGTCCCCACCAAGACTGGAGATGGTAGGTTTATTCTGTAGAAGAGAGGAGCAAGATACCTTCCAGATTCTGGAGCACCAGTCAACAACAGAGGTAAAAGTCAAGTGCCGTGTTGATATCCAGAAGAATTTGGATAAATAAGTGGCAAGAAGTCTGGCTCTTTATATCACTCAACCCCAAGAAAGCTGATAGTCATAAGTCAACCTTCCAGGCAGAAGTCCAAATAATTCCTTTGGAAGAAAAGAAAGACCTTGGGAAAAGTCTTACCCATACTGAAAAGTCAGCTGGGTGCCTGCTCAACACCCCAGAGTGAAACAGGGAATCAGCAAACCTGTGCCTTTAATTTAGCTCTCCCATTTGGCTTCCTAGGGCTTCACTCAAAACATGAGCAACCAACCAATGATTTCCAGACAGAAATAAAAATGAGCAAGGAGAGAAAGAGAAGGAGGAGGAAGAGGAGGAGGAGAAGAGGAGAGAAAGAAGGAAACAGTGAGAGAGTAGGTCAAGGGAAACAAATAATGCAGCTGGAAAAATAGAACAGACAAAATACATTGCCCTACAAATTTGCTATTTATGAAACAAGAACAGGATGCTAGGTAAGTGGAGGAAAGGGTTAATCAGAGAAAGAATTGTCTCTTAGAAGTTAAAATTAATACAGTCTAAAATTGAAATTTTAATAGAAAGTTTGGAAGATAGAGCCCAAGGAATCTCCCAGGAAGTAGGAAAGCCCCCTGAAGATGATATTTGAAAGAAAAATGAGAAAATTAGAGGGTCAATTTTGGAGATTAATACCTGACTAATATAAATATCATAAAAAGGCTGAGCACAGTGGTATACCTGTACTCTCAGCTACTCAGAGGCCTAAGACAGAAGGATTTCCAGTGTGAGTCCACCCTGGGTAACTCAGTGAGATCCTGCCTCAAAAATGAGTAAATGGCCCAGCACTCAGAGGCAGAGGCAGGAGGATCACTGTGAGTTTGAAGCCAGCCTGAACTACATAGTGAGACCCTGTCTCAATCAATCAATCAATCAATCAATCAATAAAATGGCTGGGAATGTAGTTCAGTGGCCAAATTCTTGCCTAATAGAAATGAGGCCCTTGGTTCATTTGCCAGTAACAGCAAAAATGAACAAACAAACAAATTAAATAAAAATGTCAACAAGAAAAGAATAGATAATGCTGAAAGGAGAAATAACTAAAGAACTCATACAAGAAGGCTTTCTCAATTGAGGTAGTCCTCTAGGTGGGCAATACAGGAAAATCATCATGAAATTTTAGGGCACTGAAAAAACAAAAGAGTACCTCAAAAAGGCTTCTGGAGAGAAAGAAGTCACATGTCAAAGATATGAACTCAGAAAGGCTCTGGAAACCAGAAGACAGGGCAGAATCGCCCCCAAAATCCTAAGGGAAAATAACTTCAAACATAGAATTAATTCCATACCCAGTTTTACAAATGTGGCAGAATAAATGCCCGTGTTTTTTCTCCTATGACCCTTCTCTCTGGAAATACCAAAGGATTTAACGAAGAGTCAAATAAAAAAGGCAAAAGGAGGGCCGGGGATTTAGCTCAGTGGCTCCGCCTCCTGCCTTGCAAGCACAAGGTCCCGAGTTCGATCCCTGGTACCAAGGCAAAAGGAAACTTGGGGTTCAAGAAATTACCACAGACCAGCAGCTTGGGGGGTCCCAGGATGATGGCTGGGCAGTACATCCGAAGGGCAATTTGCCCCGCTAGAAACAAAACAGGAAGACACCTGTGGAAGGGTCACCAGGACACCCTGATAGGTATCCCCCTATGTAGTCCTCCTCCAAAGCCCTCTTTCGTAGTCCCTCTGTGGTTGTATTATTATTTTACATTAAATCACTAGTGACTACATTACATTCTTTTTTTTTTTTTTTTTTTGGTACCAGGGATCGAACTTGGTTCCTTGCGCTTGCTCAGCAGGCGGCAAAACCACTGAGCTACATCCCCGGCCCCATTACATTCTATTTTTCACTGCTAAGTCAAGTAATAATGTATAATTACAATTCCTACATTGTACAGTTTTTGTTTTTTCTGCATTTATAAACTCTCCTTGTTCCTCCATTGGGTGGAAAGTACTATGGAGGAAAGCAAAGCAGGCTATGGTAGAGAGAAGGTCCAGGGTGAGGGAAGTTTGGGAATTTTGTAATAGGTTGGTCAGAAAGACATCAGTGAGAGGGTGGCCCGAAGGAGGAGATGATGGAAAAGATGGAGGCATTTGGGAGAAAATGGTAGAGGTAATAAGTTCAACATCCTGGAGACGGCAAGCTTCTAGCATGTTCTTCGTGCACTTACTAGAATTCACACTTGCAGCTTTTACTATCAGTTCCACTACCCACCTCCGCATCTAGGGGTACCCCAACTTCTCAGGCTCCCATCTTCAAATTCTAGTCATTATTGATGTGTTTTTTGTCCCAGGATCCAGAGGGTGACCAAGTCACATTGATACTACTTGCAA